CCCCAACCAGGGATCGAATCTGCGCCCCCTGCAGTGGGAACGGGGACCCTTAACCACTGGACCACCAGGGAATTCCCTGCGAGACATTCTCTACTGTGATTCTTTTGCCTATTGACATTAAAACGTCTTAGCTCGTGTCTCAGCCCACTCTGACCTCACACCAATCTTCCCCCAGCCCTTATTCTCCTCCACCCCCTCCTCTCCACCTACTTGCTGGTTAAGTTATATTCCCTCTGAATCTGTCTACCATGGGACTGAGTCCGTACTGTGAAATGAGTCGTTTAGCACCGGGCTGGCATATGGTGAGAGGCAGTACTGAATTATTTCTGCTCCATGCAGAGCCTTTGTTCCAGCCATGGCTTCCTCACACACACTAGGTGCTTCCACCCCTGGGTCTTGATTCCTTCTCTTCGCCTGGAATGCCCTGCTTCTGACGGCACCTCCTTTATGAAGCCTTCCCTGGCCCTATTGGAGGTCCTATGGAAGTGGGGAACATTTCCTAATCCTCAGAGATCCTGCAGCTCTTCAGTAAAGCCACTTGTGGCCTTGACCCCTCTCTGCCTTGTGTCACGGCTGTGTGCCAGTCTCACACCCCTATCTGGGGTCAGCATCCCAAGCACAGGGTGTCTGACTAGCCTTTTTGAGGCCCACGATTCCTTGCATACTGCACTGCATATACCAAGCAGGCAACCTCTGTAAAATAAACTATTTAGGTCATCTGGTGGGAAGAGCAGTGGAGAGTCCTGGGTTCTAGAAAATGTGCAACCACCTATTAGCCTTGGGAATTTCCACATTTCATATTTTTTAACTATCAAATGGAGACAATTAGGCTTTTTTGGGGGGGGGACGCCCATTTGTGTATTTATTTATTTGGTATGTGGGCCTCTCACTGTTGTGGCCTCTCCCATTGCAGAGCACAGGCTCTGGATGCGCAGGCTCAGCGGCCATGGCTCATTGGTCCAGCCACTCCGCGGCACTTGGGATCTTCCCGGACCGGGGCACGAACCCGTGTCCCCTGCATTGGCAGGCGGACTCTCAACCACTGCGCCACCAGGGAAACCCTGTGTATTTATTTTTTGTCTATACCACGTGGCATGTGGGATTTTAGTTCCCCGACCAGGAATTGAGCCTGTGCCCTCTGCAGTGGAAGCATGGATTTTTAACCACTGGACCGCCAGGGAAGTCCCTAGCCTTTCTTAATTATTTCATTCCCTGAGATACACCCAAGTCACATCAATTTGATTAGAATGTTCACAAACCAGGACTTCCCTGGTGGTCCAGTGGTTAAGACTCCAAGCTTCCACTAGGGGGGCACAGGTTTGATCCCTGGTCGGGGGGACCTAAGATCTCTCATGCCATTTGGTGAGGCCAAAATAAATAAATAATGTTCACAAACCTCTTGCCATTATGTTCAGATACTTGTTTTGGTTTCAGACAGCTGATTGAGTACTGATGTTGCCAGTTTTCCAAGTCCCATTCTGGAGAACTGGAGGTCTTCAATAGCCACAAGAGATGTTAACAACCTAGCACAGGACCAGCACATCGACGGCACAGGATTCTGTTTCATCCCATCTTTTTTTTTAACAGATTAAAAAAAAAAATTTACGTATTTATTTTTGGCTACATTGGATCTTTGCTGCTGCACGCGGGCTTTTCTAGTTGCAGTGAGCGGGGGCTACTCTTCATTGTGGTGCGTGGGCTTCTCATTGCAGTGGCTTCTCTTGTTGAGGAGCACGGGTCTAGGCACGCAGGCTCAGTAGTTGTGGTACACTGGCTTACTTACTCCGAGGCACGTGGGATCTTCCCAGACCAGGGCTCGAACCTGTGTCCCCTGCACTGGCAGGTGGATTCGTAACCACTGTGCCACCAGGGAAGCCCCTCGTCCCATATTCTGATTGTGGTCTTCTGTGGGTTTGGCCTCTAGGTTGTTCTATAATAGAAGCCCCTATAAGCCCTTTTGGCTAACAGTCAGATCTTTCTGATTTTTAAAAGTATCATCCAAATAATTTGAACAATGCCACTACATTTGGAGCCAAGTGGTAAGTTGTTTATTAAACACAATCAGTTTTGCAGGATCTTGGGTTACACGCTTCTGCCTCTGGGGCTAGAATCTTCTTTTCAGGGCAATTACCACTGGCTCAGCCCTGCATCTCATTGGTCCTCCTCTTCCACAAACACCTCCCTGGCTCCAGGTTGGCCTCTATGTGGGAGGCTAACCTTTATTTACAAAATGGGCCGGCAACCAAGAGGGGAAGGGTTGACTCCTAACGACCATTCCGAGTTTGAAGTCTGACTAGTTCATAATCCACAAACGGAAGATTCTGTGTTTAATAGAATGGCCCTAAGAGCAGACTTTGATACACTTCACTACTCATTGCCCTTTGTCAAGGGATGGCCTCCCAACATTAAGTATCAGCTTCTCCAACATTTTAGTAACTACATTTTTAATACTACAAACCTATTCTCTAGAAAAATTACTTTCGTTATGCCTTTTCTAGGGTTTGTGGATTACATCAAGTCGCACACCATATTTATCATTTTGTCACAGCCCTTAAGACCTGTTAACAAGGGAAGTCAAGGATTTCCAAACCAACCCTGCTCTGTCATCTCACAAGGCAAGTCCCTCCACAACCACTACACCACTCAGGCAGCTGACCAAGTGTCTGTCAGCCAAGCAGCACCTTCTTTCAGGACAGATTAATGGGACAGCACAGCTCTGGCTGAATGCTTACAGGACAGCTGACATGGGGGGCACTTGGAGGGACAAGCTCACTAGTTTTTCATTAAGAGGTTGAGGCCCCATTTGAGGAGCTGCAGGTGCAGATGTAACCTCTACTGCCATTTCTGTGGTTCCTCCACACATACAAGATTGACTATGACTATATATTAAACAGAAATCTGCAAGTCAGATGTTTCTGAAAACAAGTTTTATTTAAATAAGGGTTTAAATACATTACATAACATTAAAACTGAAGGGGAAAAAAACCCCCAAAAAACCAAAAACCAGTTTGTTACTTCACGTGGCATCGGGCAGCTGTTGCTAGTAAGTTGCGAGCTCTACAGCTACATGACTGATACATCGGTTTGAAATTGGTTCCCTTGTCAAAAGTTTAACTCTGATAGAAGGTTGGCCTCACATTCTAGTTTGGACATCGATCAGCTAGGATATGTCTGGTCAAAAAGACCTTGGTGGCAAGCCAGATGTCCTGTCACCTCAATAGAAGGAAGGTGGCTGCTCTAAGCTCTGCCCACCTGGTCACGTTGGAGATACCACGGGATCTTTCCCCTGATGATCAAAGACTCCCTCTAGCAGTACAGCTGCCGTCGCTGCCTCACCCCATCCTCCACTCTCAGCTTCACCGAGGGCTGTTCAGGTGGCGACATTCTCTTAGGACAGGGAACTCTGTAGAGGGATTGCTGAGGAGCTTCTGGCCAGACATAGCCGCCTGTGATCTTGGGGCTCTGGACTTGGCTGAAACATCGCCGTTATTGCTTTGTTTCAGGCCGGACACTGCCAGGTGCCTACTGCTTGACCTCTGTTTAAATGAGGGACTTCAAGACTAGACAGCATGGCTCTTTTCAGTTTATTGCATGAAGGAGTTACACTAGTCCAAGTTAAAAGCAGACCCCAAATGGTTACATTACACAAGCTGTGAGGTTTTTAAACTTGTGACAAGGGACAGGAGGAAAATTCTACTCATTGCAAGGAAATCCTCACTTAAGCTTCAGTGAGCCAGGAGCACTTAAAACCCATGAACCTTCAGCTGATCGTCCTTAGCCAGTCCAATCTGCAAAGGAAAAAAGGGCAGTTTTAAAGAGGAATAGAGTTAAAGCCTCCATTTCTGATGACAATCCTGTCTTCCTGCTTCTACACTGGTCAAGAGAAGTCCCAGAGCCCAGATGCTCTCAACTCAGGGTACACTCAGTTAACCACCAATGGTGCAATAGGATTTCAGCACTTAGGAACAGCCAACCAGACATCCGCTTGTTTTAGTATCTGTCTGCATGCAATTGCACCCTTAAAGCAAACCCATGTAAACAGTAAACTTAAGGCAGACGAATCCCTTGCTTTCAGAAATACATTTTGTCGATGAACTTCAAAAACTCAACTGTTTGGCTTAGCCTTAGAAAACAAACTTCTACGTCCCCAGCAGAGACTGACTAGACTAGGCAGATCTCAGATTAGTTAGCCAGGGCAGAGGCACAAATGTACTAACAGGAAGTGACAACTCACCTCTACGAGGAACTGGCATATGTTCTTGCGCTGGTCACCCTGTAGCTGAATTACTTCTCCATATTCTGGATGCTCAATTACAGTTCCATTGCAGGCAAATTTCTGCAAGGACAATGCAAGCAAACAAGTTAGGCAGCGCAACAGCCTGAATGCCACTAATAACCCTTTTCAGAAAGTAATACAGGACAGCAGCCCCATGTAGGCAAGGTAAACACGATTTCCCTACAATCTCATTGAAAACCTACCTTCTTAAACGCCTTCACTAGTTTCTTTTTATCGTAATCATCAGCGATCCCTTGGACAGTAGTAAGGGTCTTCCTGCCGTTTCTCTGTTGGATTCTTATATGGATATAATCCTCAGTGCCAGCAGGAAGCAGATCATCACCCTTACTTGCATCAGCAAAGGGGTCTGGGAAGAAAGGTCAAGCTCGTTTAGTGCTATTGTGCTCAGATCCCACTGCCACCCTCCCACTGGATCTCTTCCGTGTGCAGAAACTGATACTGAAATCGTCAGGGCCTGGTCAGATCAGATATGTTCTTTGTTGGCTCTCCTCGAACAGGTCAGTCCGGGACGGCCGGCTTCCCCAGTCCGGGAGAAAGTCTGGGCTTCCTGCCCCAGGCCCGCCCTCGAAAGCCGATCACATGTCGGGGGAGCCAGGGTTGGCCGGCGGCGCCCCACCCAGCTGATGCAACCGGCCGGAACCCAAGCTCCGAGGCGGGGCCACGCTTCCCGCCCCATTGGCGCGCGCAGCTGTCACTCATGGCTGGCACCGCCTCTCCCTCCCGGCTCTGTGACAACGGCGGTGACGTATGGGATGTGACGAAAGGGTGGCGGGAGGGGCGGGTGTGGCCCGAAAAGGCCAGGGAGCCATTAGTAAATGCGCCACCCGAGACGCCGGACCCGCCCAAGGGCTGACCTCCCGCCCGCTCCTTCCGGTCGCGCTCAGGGGCCAACCCCAGGGCCCAGGCCGCGGCCCCACTGCCTGCGAGCCCGGACATCTCTCCTCTACCCAAGTTCACTAAGGTACGGAACGCTTAGCAGCTTTCCGAGCCCTGGCTGCGGACCCGGAGCGCCCCGCCCGGGCCTTCCTCCTCTTGGGACCTTTCCGGGACTTACCGAAAGAGTGGAGGTTCTGGATAGCGGACATACGATACGATTCCTTTTCCTCGGTGGAAACGGCCTGCGGAAGGCGGCGGCTGGAGAAGGCGGGCGGGGGGACGGAGCGTCGGGAAGCTAGGGGGCTCGAGGGGGAGACTGCTGAGTCCTCGGCGGCGGCTCAGTGACTGGGACGGAGGGGCGGTGCCTGTATTCACTTATGTAGCCGCCCTGTGACGCCAGCGCGCTGCCCTCACGTCCAGGCCCCACCCACGACGTTGTGCCCCCTGCGCCCGGGCGCCGCCGCTTCCAATTGGTCCGGAGGCGGGGACGCGGGACGGCGCTTGCGCAGGAACTGTGTGCTGCGGGAGGGCGTCCTCTCGACTAGGGGAGAGATGGAAGGGGGAGGGAAGGGTTGGTTCGTCTAGGCGCCTGCGCAGTGCTGGAGGAAGGTGGCCGGTGCAGACAACTGGCGGAGGTTTCTGCGCCTGCACCCTATGTTCTCTAGCTTGATCCGCCTTCTTGACCCTGTTGCAGGGAAGGGTTTTTTCCTGGGGTAGATTGACACTCCTTAGAGGGGATTTAGATGCTGACCCTCCCAAACACGACAAATTCCCACTATCTCATACCCACCCAACTACCCACTTACTCCCTACTTTACAGATTTGCTCCGTAACAGATTTAGGGCGGCACTTTTTCAACGTACAATAGAATAACCAAAACCTTAACTTTATCATTTAGATTAATTTATCATTTAGATGAATCTAATCTAAACATGAATTAATCTACTTTAAACGTATCGTTTAGATCGTCTAAGGAAAGAATTCCCAGATCATTAGCACAAGTTCAAGGGAGAGTAACGCTGGTTCTGGGGGGTCAAGAAGAATTCATGCACTTTTGTCATACAAATTGTGTGGGGTTGAGCCTTCCCAGAGCGTGAACTATTTCCTTCAAAGCAGTCAACCTTTCTTGCACTTTCAATTTATTAATTGAAATGCTCGTAGTTGCAGGGGTACCTAGTGTGGTTTTAGACTCCAAAGGCTTCCAGGGCCCAGAGAGGTAAGGTAAAGGAGTGCAGACAGCCAAGGGTGGTGTAACGGGGTGTGGTGAGCGCCGGGGTGAAAGTCAGGGGCTGCAGCGGCTCCAGCCCATTGTGCTGGATCTTCTTTTTCAAGAGAACCCTGAAATTCAGATGTTTCTATAAAATCTTTTGATTTCTAATCATTGCCAATAAATTTAATTTTGGAAAAACACTGTGCAAGGCAAACAGAAACATGTATGCTGGCCCCAAGGACTGTGGGTTTATGTATCTTGATGGTCAGGGTCACTGGCACCAGTGGAGTCTAATGGGAGGGAGAGACAATAAATAAGATGACAGATTGTGACAGGTGCCAAGAAAGAAGTAAATAAGGTGACATGAGAGAGTGACAAATGTCATGGTCTGAGCACGGGTTGGAAAAGAATTTCCAGACACAAGGCAGAATGTAAAGAAGAGTTTATTAAAGAGAAGGGTCGCTGCAAGAACAGTGGGCCGACTTCCTGGTAGCCAGGGAAAGTCGACGATGAGCATGGATTGCTTGTCCATTTTTATAGCCAGGGACTTGTGAGTCACCTGCCAATTGGGTAGGGTCCACATGTTTCCAGTGGGATGAATACCTTCCTTTATATGGGATGGGAAAGGAGCAAGGCATGCTGCTTGGGAAAGCTCAGAGATGTTGCAATGGTCTCATTGTGACAGAGTGATAAGGGTCTGGTAACTCTCTGTTCCGGTGATGTTGGCCCTTTGAGTTTATCTTGTTCTTTGTCCGTGGAGCGCATCACAACAAGGGCTTCAGGAGGCCTCTGAGGAGGTGACTTCCCAGTTGATGCTTAAAGAGAAAGAGCCCATAACATGGAAAACCCCAAAGGAGGAAAAGCTGGGTGTACTTGATAGTTTTTTTTTTTAATTAATTTTTATTGGAGTATAGTTGCTTTACAATGTTGTGTTTGTTTCTACTGTACAGCAAAGTGAATCAGCTATATATATACATATATCCCCTCTTTTTTGGATTTCCTTCCCATTTAGGTCACCGCAGAGCACTGAGTAGAGTTCCCTGAGCTATACAGTAGGTTCCCATTAGTTATCAGTTTTTTTTTTTTTTTTTTTTTTTTT